TACTCATTAGTCATCTATATATCTTCTTTCATGTACTCATTAGCCATCTATATATCTTCCTTCATGTACTCATTAGTCATCTATATATCTTCTTTGAAGAAATGTCTATATTCAAGTCCTTGGCCCATTTTTAACAGGATTTTATTGTTTTGAGCTGTAGGAATTTTTTACATATTCTGAATATTTATCAGATATATAATTTTCAAATATTTTCTCCCATTTCACACATTTCTTTTTTTACTCTGTTGAATGTGTTCTTTAATGCACAATTCTTAATTATTAAACTCCAATTTATCTATTTTTCTTTTGCTTTCTGTGGTTTTGGTGTCATATACAAGAAATTATTTTCAAATCCAATGTCATGAAGATTTCCCCCTGTATTTTCTTCTGATATTTTTATAGTTTTAAAACTCACATTTAGATCTTCAATCCATTGTGAGTTTGTGTGTGTGTGTGTAGAATACGAGTATGGGTACAACGTCATCCTTTTGCATGTGATTATCCAGTTTTCCCAACACAATTTTTTGAAAAGATTGCCCTTTCTCTATTGAATAGTTTTGTCAGTGTTGTTGAAAATTATTACAACATATATGAAAGGATTTATTCCTGGGACCCTTTTTTATTTCTTTGTAAATCTTTCATTTTCTTAATTTGTTTACCAAAGTAATGTATCAGTTTTCAAGAAGGTACAGAAGAGTCTTGAAGACAAATTGTCTTTTTATTTTAGCTATTATTGAACACAAGTGAGAACTCAGATTTTTTTTGTACTGCCCATAATGATTTTTAAAAATCAGTACAAGAAGACATTACACAATATGAATCAGACAAATCCAAAGAAATATAAAGCTGGATTTCAGTCTGTAATGATAATTATCTTAGTCTGTTTAGGCTGCTATTACAAATTATCATGGACTTGGGGGCCTATAAGCAACAGAATTGTACTTCTCACAGTTCTGGAGCTAGGAAGTCCAAGATAAAGGTGCTGGTGACATTGTGTGGTCAGGGCCTGCTACCTCATTCATAAATAGCCATCTTCTTGCTATAACCTCACTTGTGGAAAGGGTGAAGAATTTCACTGGAATCTCTTTTACAAGTGCACTAATCTCATCTCATTCACACTGAAACACAGTAAAAATGTAGACTATAAAGTTGATTTTCTATGTTTAAATTTCAATGTAGGATTTTATAAAGCTGGTTTTTGCTACTTTTATTCCTACTTCTCTAAATAATCTGTGATATAATTTTTAAAGTACACAAAATAAGGATTTAATGGATCCTAGGTTAGAGATAACTTCTGAGGGTTATTTTCAGATTAAGTAGACTTCAAGACAAATATGAAGAAGTAAATTACAGAGGTAATAAAAGAAGCAGTTCCACACAAAGACATTAAAATCCAAGGAATGCAGCAATTAATAAAGATTCAAGATGGAATGAAAAATAGTGAAATAAAAAATACGGAAATAAATCCATAATCATGCTTGGAGCTTTTAAAAACTTCTGTCTTAGTATTTTATAGAAGTAGAAAAGAATTAGTTACATCAATTATTCAGAAAGTACAAACCACTCAACTCAGCTAATATGAAATTGATGCAATGAATGGCTATATATTTATTAAGAAAATAAATATGTGTTCTTAAAAATGCAAAGAGAGCGATTTAAAATGTTCTCATGACCAAAATGATAAATATGTGAGATGTTGTACATGGTAAATATATGCAATTTTGTCTTTCAATTTAAAAACGATTTTTTAAAAATTCAAAAACTCCCTGAAAAGAAATTTACCAGCACAAAAGAATTACCTGGAAAATGTACTATTAGAAGCAATGATGTCAATTTTAAGTAATATCGAATATAGAATTAAATACTTCCCATG